GATCTGGCACTTGGTTGCACAGACATTTTGATCCCAAGCTCTTTTGTTATATATGGAGAACAACAGATGTACAAAAGTTCTATTCTGGAATGTAAGGGGGATCAATTCCCAGGTGAAATGGGATGCAATTAGAGACAAGATTTCAAAAAGTGCATACCAAATAGTTTGCTTACAAGAAACTAAAAAAGAAACTTGACTCTTTTTATATCAAAAAGTTCTGCCCCAGAAATCTAGACCAATTTGCATACTCTCCTTCCATTGGTGCTTCTGGGGGCTTGATCACTATCTAGAATAGTAGCTTGTTTGATGGTGCTATCACCCATGTCAATTCTTATTCTGTCACTGTTAATTTCACCAGCAGGCTAAACAATAAATCCTTCCATGTCAGCAACATATATGGCCCATCAAATCCCTCACAGAAGCAAGGTTTTGTTACTTGGTTGATGAATTTTGACACCACTGAATTTGATGACTGGATCTTGGGTGGTGATTTCAACCTGATCAGAGTACCTGAAAACAGAAATAAACCTGGTGGTGATTCAATAGAGATGTATATGTTCAATGAACTGATATCAAACCTAGATCTAGTTGAAATTCCCTTCAGTGGTAGGGAATTCACATGGAGCAATATGCAATCTGACCCTCTCTTGGTCAAACTTGACTGGGTTTTCACTTCATCAACTTGGACTCTGACATATCCTGCAACCCAAGTTCAACCTTTATCAAGGCCAACCTCAGATCATATTCCCTATGTGATCCACATAGGCAGTGACATACCCAAGTCAAAACTCTTCAGATTTGAAAATTATTGGGTGGAACACCCTGGCTTCTTGGACAATGTAACTCCACTGGAACAACTCACCAGTCTTTGCAAATGCAGCCCAGAACTTATCCTCCAAGCTCAAGCATGTAAGAGCTGGGTTAAGAAAATGGAGCAAAGGCATCTCCAATTTGAACAAGCTCATATACAACAGCAATTGGGTTCTGCTTCTCATGAATGGTCTTGAAGACCAGAGACCTCTTTCAAGACTAGAAGCTGCTTTTAGAAGCCTTGTCAAGTCACATCTAGCTTCACTTCTAGAGTCAAAGAGAGCCTATTGGAAGCAAAGAAACACTATAAGATGGGTCACCCTAGGGGATGAAAACTCAAATTTTTTCCACACCATGGCAACCTTATCACACGAGAAATTTCATTGTCGGCATCAGAAATTCAGAAGGAAATCACATTACAGGTCATGATCAGAAAGCCAACCTTCTCTGGGAAGCCTACAAAGAAAGGTTGGGTTGTACTGAGTTCACCAGCATATCCTATGATCTCAGCTCAATTCTAACAGAACATAATTTTGAGGATTTGAATTCAGAGTTCAGTCAACAAGAAATTGACTTAGTCATAAAAAGTCTACCCAACGGTCATGCCCCAGGACCAGATGGGTTCAATGGCATATTCATTAAAAAATGTTGGGATATCATAAACGGTGACTTCACCAGACTCTTCCAGGACTTCTACAGTTCCAATATTGACCTCAGAAGTATAAACTCCTCAATCATAGCTCTAATCCCCAAAAAGAACAATCCTGAGACAGTTAATGATTTCAGGCCTATCTCCCTACTGAACTACAGTCTAAAATGCATCACAAAGTTACTCTCAACAAGACTGCAATCAGTCATCCCAAAGCTGGTACATGAAAACCAATATGGTTTTGTTAAAGGCAGAACCATCTAGGACTGCGTAGCCTAGTCCTTCCAATTTCTACACCTTTGTCACAAATCCAAGAAGGAAGTAGTTATTCTCAAGCTTGACTTTGAGAAAGCTTTCGATAAATTGGAACACCAAGTGATCCTACAAGTTATGAGAAAAAAAGTTTCTCAGAGAGGTGGATCAATTGGATCCATAACATTTTAAGCACAAGCAGCTCATCAGTCTTGTTAAATGGCATACTTGGAAAAAGATTCAAATGCTTGAGGGGGGTGAGACAAGGTGACCCATTGTCCCCTCTCCTGTTTGTTTTAGCAGCTGACATGCTTCAGTCAATTATTAACAGAGCTTGGCAAGACAAAGTGATCAAACACCCCCTAAGTGATGAATTTGGAGGAGAATTCCGTATCATACAGTATGCTGATGACACCCTCCTTCTACTCCCAGGTGATGCAAGAACCCTTTTCAACCTAAAAGGGCTGTTGAGACCCTTCTCTGATTCAACTGGTCTGCATGTAAACTTTGGAAAATCTTTTCTGGTGCCAATAAACATGTCTGATGACAGGGCCACTCATCTTGCCAGAACCTTTGGTTGCAGGGTTGGAAACATGCCTTTCACTTATCTTGGCCTCCCCCTTGGCACAACAAGACCCAACATACAAGAGTTCTCACCTTTACTCAATTAACAGGATTGAAAAAAGACTGTCAGGTATAAGCAAATTCTTGTTCTACAATGGTAGACTCATCCTTGTGAATTCAGTCTTTTCTGCTCTCCCCACTTTTTACATGTGCAGCCTCAAGTTGCCACCACAAGTAATTAAGCAGATAGACATCTACAGGAAACATTGTCTTTGGAGCAAAGGAGACATCAATAGAAAGGGCACCTGTCTAGTTGCTTGGGAGACAGCTTGTATGTCCAAAGAGCAAGGGGGACTAGGAATTATTGACATCAAGGATCAGAACATTGCACTCCTCCTCAGATTCCTAGACAAATTTTTCAACAAGAGTGACATACCATGGGTCAAATTAACCTAGTCCAAGCTATATGCTAACAAGCAAACACCACCCCAGGCTAGAAGTCCTGTGGGCTCCTTCTAGTGGAAAGAGATCATGGGCCTCTTTGGTAAATACCAGGCAATGGCCATCTGTAAACCCAACAGTGGTAACACTGTACTGTTCTGGTCATAGATTTGGACAGGCCAAGATCAAGCTCTAAAAGACCTATTCCCACAGATATACTTATTTGCCAAAAAACCCAAATGTTCAGTTCAGTTCTTCATTGAACAAGGGGAAAACAGATTTTTTAGTCTTCCACTGTCACAGATGGCTGCCGATCAGCTACAAGAAATTGCAAACCAGATACAAGATTTTGATTTTGCAGAAGAACAAGATGATGTCTGGAGCTACTGCTGGGGGGCCTCCAAGTACAGCAGCAAAAAAGCTTACAAATCTATGCAGGTTCATCCTGAGGCTTCACCTCTTTTCTCATGGCTATGGGCATCAGATAACTTGGGAAAACACAAGTTCTTCTTCTTGCTGCTGCTTAGAGATAGATTGAACACCAGAAACCTACTAAGGAGAAAAAAATATGCACCTTGATAAATATAACTGTGTTTTATGCAGTACAGGGGAAGACGAAACATGTTTTCATCTCTTCTTCCAGTGCCCCTTTAGTCAGACATGTTGGAGCACCATTCCAATTAACTGGAACCTGAGCATGCAGCCCCTTGACATGGTAATACAAGCCAGAGAGGACTTTGGAAGCATCATATTCAGAGAAATATTCATCACTGCCTGTTGGATCATCTGGATCACTAGGAATGGTGTCATATTAGATAATGAACAAGCCAATTTTAATGCCTGGAAAAGAAGATTCAGGGAGGAACTTGGCCTTGTGTGCACAAAAGCCAAGCCAACCATGTAGCACCTACTTAGTGTATGGAGAGATAGTTACACCTAATGTACTCTTGTTTTTTTTGTTTGGGCCTGGATGCCTTGTATTTCTTACTTTTGTACTGTTCATTCTTTCATTTAATTGAAAAGCAAAAAAAAAATTAGGTAGGGGACTCCCCTGCCGATTCGGTTAAAAAATAGCTCAGGATCTCAAAACCAAATATGTACGACGCTTTGTAGTATGGATGACCGCACAGGCAAACACTAGGCAAAAAGCCTGAGAACAGATGCCCAACGAATAACGGCCAACATTCATGTAGGCGAAGTTGAGAAACTTCTTCTTTCTGGTGTCTCCCTTCTTCTTCTTTCTGCCATCGAAGTATGAGGAAGACTGATCTGAAAATTATTCTCCCTAGTCCTTCATCGAGGTCAGATCTAACCACGACAAAACGGAGAAGAAACCGGAGAAAATTATTTCATGGCGGCGACATCATCTCCACCTTGATGTCGCCGTCTGGAAAGAAAGGTCTCCATGTCGTCAAGCCAGTGAAGCTGCTGACGCCGTAGCTGTTGCCCTCAGGTCCAGCAGAGCCGTCATGGAGAAAACAATTGCACCCTTCCCCTTCACCCACCCTTCCCCTTCACCGTCGCCGGAGAGGAAGAGGTGGAGATAAATCCCCGATACCAATAAATTTGGCATGAAGAGACCTTAACCCTAAGGACTCGATCTACTAGAAAAACTTATGAAAACGATGGATCTCCACTCCCTTCGGCCTCCGGCAAGATGCCGGAGGGGAAGGGAGGGGGACCAGCGGGGGTGGAAGGCGGCGGCGGCGGTGGTGGCGGCGGCGCTGCTTTAGGTCGAGACGTGCGAGAGGGGTAGACTCTATAGAGACAATATGTGTGTACACCTTGGGTTGATACATATATACTCAAGACTCTTACCAGTATATTCCATTTTATTTGCCGCTGCAACTAGCTAATACGTACGTACCTGACTTGTAAGATTTGGTTGACGTCGTCGACCAATATCACGCTTGTTAGAACTTGAAAACCGCGTGGACGATCAAATGGGTCGCGGCATGCATGCAAAACTGGTCGCACACGCAAGAAGTGATGTATATGTTACATGCATCAATGCATGGAAATTTCTCAACAAGCAGTGGCTAGCTAGTTTCATTTCAGTCCACCCGTGCATAATGAAGGACAGCTCATTAGCAGTATGAGCAGCAGCTGATCGTGGAGCTTTCACGTAGCTTGATAGCCTATATATATTATTCTTGCTGAGGCTAGCTAGCACACAATAGCACACAAGCCTAAGTTTGGTGATACATCGGCCAGTACATACACTGTGATTGTGAACCCAGAGAGACAGATCAGTAGTACTGACTAGCTTAGCAACGTAATCGCCATGACGAGATCAAAGGTTGCCATCCTCCCATTGTTCCTGTTGTTCGTGGTTCTGTCAGGATCCTGGACGACTTGCAGTCGTCCGGCCGCTGCCGCGAGGCCGCTGCTGGCTCACGACGACGACGACGACAGCCGTTGGGTCGAGCAGGCGGCCCCTGCCGGCATTGGCTTGGTCGCGGTGCTGCAGTCTGTCTGGAGGCCGTGGCACCAGCTGCTGCCTCTAGAAATGAAGCAGGCTGGACTCTCGTGTAGTACGTGGGACCCCAACAATCTCTGCCCACCACCAGCACCAAGGGGGCCATGAAAAACTAGGTGATCACCGTGGCGAAGGGGAAAATGCACGCTGCGTGCGTGCGTGGACAGAGGTTGCAGCAATAAGAAGAGCTAGGATATCGATACCGTTCTAGCTAGTAGCACCCACAAAGATAGTTACATTTAATTTTGGTATATATACTACCAAATATTTTCTCTTGGTATATATATAGGTGCAAATCGTCTGTTCTTTCTCCTCTAGTCATCAGGCACACATGTACATTGGTTCAATTGTGATAGAATCTGATTATCAGTCATTCTATCCATTTGAGAAAGCAGGCAAGTAACATTTGTCATGGCTTTCACATGGATCATGAAACAAAATTATATTCGCTGTTGAAAATCAGGAGGCATGTAAACAATGTTAATATGTCACTATCTCGATTCGAATCCGAGAATTTTAGGAGATACAGCGATCCTACCAAGTCGAAACGAATCTTACCATATATTCGGAATTTCATAGCTAGTATACCGATTGTTCATGAAATTTCATAGTATCCTCACATTATGATCTCTTTTTATGACACTACCTAATAGATAGTATAAATAAAATTTTGAAAAGTTTGGTTGTACTTCCTCTGTTTTTTACATTGTCATATTAGGTTTGTCCTAAGTCAAACATTTCTAGATTTGACCATCAACTTCAAAATTTTCATATAATTTCACAACATGTGAATTATATATTTGAAAGTATTTCTTGTAGTGAATCTAAAAACATAAATTTTATATTGTTAACCTATATATTTTTTTAAAAAAAATTGATAGTCAAATAAAGATAGCAATGTTTGAAAATAATGTTAACGGTGACGTCGGTGGTATATTGCTTTGTAGCAGGTTATTAGATATGACTGGTATTCGTTGTAATGGAAGACGGTGAGAGATAGATGTTAATTCAAATATTTTTTGATAATGGAAGACTTTATTAAAAACTCTAAGGACAATACACCAAGTTGATGGATAGTCTTGGAGGGTACTCCATCCTCTACCTAACAAGAAGCATCCAACCAATAAAATAAAACAAATCACACACACTCTACTAGCTATTAATCCATAGGCTATTCCGCCATCCATGTGCCAGCAAATAAAAAAAACATGTGGCCACCTGTACCAATTGTCCTGAGGCCTCCACAACCAAAACCTATCAATCCGGCTTCTGGAGAATGGACCAAGTACAAAGCCAGTGGGAAACTTCAAAGATGACCTGCAAAGGAGTAGTTTTTTTCTTTCCAAAAACCATATCATTTCTATTTAGCCAAATGGACCAACAAGTAGCTGGGGCACCTAGCAAAACTAGTGGTTTCACATCTTTGGCTAACCCTGTCAAACAACTACCAAACATATGTGATATGCAACCAGGTTGTGTTAGTCTAGAAGCCAAATGAGTTGTGTTCCAAACTGCTCATGCAAGTCGGCATTCAAAAATAAGTGCCTAATTGTCTCATCTTTGCGACAAAAGGAGTATGTTTTGCTTCCTTGATAGTTGCGCTGAATTGTCTGTGGTCAAAACAACTCCCTAGGTGCCACAAAAAAACTTAACTTTTAGTGGGGCTTTCAGTTTCCACCGTCGTTTGTTTAAGTTGGGTGCACGCAAGATTGGATCATGGCTTCATAATATGATGGCACTGAGAATTCACCATTTGGGTGTAGATTCCAATGAAACACATCGTGCTCTTGTGTCAGTTGAATGTTATCTATACATGGTAATAAACTATTATAGGATACTAACCGACCAATGAGAATTCTGTGCCATGAAAGGTTTGGGGGAAGCTTGAACCATATTGTCTAAGAATGCAATTTGTTGCATTTGTGTATATATGGTTTGTGTTAGGACATGGATATATGAGTGGCGGAGGCTCCTACATAACATCAACTGTTTATATGTGTGATGGTGCACAGGTATACCAGGAGGAGCCTTCGGATCCAATCGCTGGTAAGGCGGAGGCCAAGACGCAGGAACATCGAAGAGAGCCTTCGCCTCTGATCGCCAGTAAGGTAGAGGCCCAAGCATAGCTCTGAGGATATCCGAACGAGTTTCTTGGTGGAGGTCTCAGAGCGAAGATAGAGGTCTCAGAGCGAAGACGGAGGCTCAGGCAGCTTGGGCGGAGGTCATGCGATCCCCGTCCGAGAGAAGGGAGCTCCTGGCAGCACCGCGGCTTAGAGTCGGGGATGGGCCTCCTGCGGGCCTGCGGCTAAGGCCTAAGAAGCAAAGGTGGTGCAGAAAGAAAGGACCCAAGATGCCCTTGAAGATTTGCACTAAGTCTAACGATATTCTAGGAATGTACCTTAGCTGTCATAGGGCAAAGATGTACAATGGAAAAATAGCAAATAGTACCCTATAAAAGGGAGAGCCAGATCATATGTAAGGGGGTTGGTGAATACATTTATGAAACCCTATTCGTGTCTACACCCACCTGTCTGATTACCTTCGCCCGGAGCCTCCGCCTGGGCAAAGACCCTGTACTTCCAACTTGTCGGAACCCCAGTTTTCCAACATTGACGCCCGCCATGTGTAGGCCAAGCAAAACCCACGATGGCGAGAAAAAGAGCAGCCTCCGCTAGGGCACCTTCGGAGCATTCCAGAAGGGGAAGACCTAGGCGGAGTACCCGAAGCACCTACGCTACCACCACGAAAGATCAAGACCCAGAAGAGGATGTAGTGGAGGATCAACCCATGGCGTCCAAAGAGCAGCCGGCGCCTGAGCCAACCCCAGAGCAGGTGCTTCAACAGCTCCAGGCCTAGTTGCAGAGTACGCAGCAAGAAAGAGATAGGTTGGCCGCAACCTTCGCCATGAACCAGAGGACAGTGCAGGCGTCACTTCAAGCAGCGAAGATCAGGCAGCAATTGGCTGTCCTGCAGCCAGAGATACAAAGCATGCAGCACACCCAGCCACTTTCCAACACATCCAACTAGCCTTACTCAGCAAATCAAAGCCAATCCAACCCTTCGCCAAGCCCAATTGCTCATCCAACCTTCGGCACACCTTACACTTCACCACCAGCTCATAGGACTATAGACTCAAAATCTCCATTATCCGAAGGAATCCAAAAAATACCTTGGCCTCCCTCCTACAAACCCATTACTCTACCCAAATTCAATGGGAGATGAGACTCGTGCCAGTTTATCAAGAGTTTCAAGGCAGCTGTAGCCTCCACAGGTTAGAATGACACTGTCTTGGCCAAGTCATTCATTATTACAGCTGAAGGTGATGCCTTGGCATGGTATTCGATGCTAAGGCCGAGCTTGGTATATTTTTAGGAAGACCACCGTGACAAAATCATATCCAACTTCAAAGGGTTTACCATTGAATCCCTGACCTCGATGGACTTGTTCCAGTACAAACAAAATCAAGGAGAGGCTCTAAGGGACTATTTTTAGAGATTTGTGCAGCTAAAAGCGAAGTCACCAAATATGCCAGAAGATGTCACAATTCAAGCCGCAATCAAAGGTCTTTGCATCGGAGCTTTCACATCTCATTTAGCTCGAGAGAAGCCAAGCACAATAGAGCAATTGTACAATGAGTTTGAAAAATATTGCAGGTCAGATAACGACCTTCACAGAAGCCACTGGCGATTCCATGCCATGCGGCGCCGGTTAGATTGGTTAATCGTTTGCCTTCCAAATCTGATCGCTATCCCCCTTATCATTTGAGTTTGAACTTGTCTTGCATTGTGTAGTGATTCCACCATGGCGGCGGCGGCCCCCATCGTGGGGCTTCCCACCGGTGGTGCCGGAGAGTCGTCCCGTCGCCGTTCACCTGCGCCGAACCCGTCTGTCCCCACACAGCCCTCTGGTTCTAAAGTGGGTGAATCTTCAGGCGACAAAAAATATCGTAAGTTATTGAAGCATTACCACGAGGCCCGAGCGTTGTTGTGTGAGTCCAGGCTGCACGCTGACATGCTGCTCGGTAACTTGGTGGCTGTGCGCGCCGCACTTGTCATGGCCTAGCAGGAAGCCACTCAGGCGCGAGAAGACAAGGCGGCCGTGGTGTCGGAAGCCGTTCGTCAAGTGGTTGCCACGACACTGGCCGCTACCCAGCTTTAGTTTGGCGAGGCGGTGAATGTCTGGGTGGTGGAGCAGGGTTTTCCGCTGGGATCGGATGACAATGAGATCGATGATCTCATTGAGAGCCTCCGGCCAGCCGCCAACGGTATCTTAGCGAAGCTGAACGTGGAGCAGATCCTGCACGCCCGTCTCGAGCCTTGATCTATGGGACGTATCAGTTGTTAGAACTAGTATAAAGTAATGTTAATCATCTGTAGTTAGAAATAGTATGTCTTTGTAGTAGTTGGATGACATTGAGTAGTGGGATGGCACTGCTCTCCTCTTATTTGCATGTATTTGATAAATTTTGTTGAACTTGCAAGAACCATGGTAGCGACAAGTTCATACGAGCAAGTTTCGTTTTTTCTCGTTTTCCTGTGATGCTTGTTACTATGCCGTTTACAATTTTAAGTTTGGGCCCTGTTTTTAAATCTGGGTCGGCGCGTAGGATTGTCCGGCCACTGAGAAACAACACGGGCCGGACTTTAATGCACCATGCAACATGACATGACTGAGTCCGTTGTAAGTCAACTAGATGTGCGGTGGTGAGAGATAGATGTTAATTTATTTTCTTTATAATCGAAGACTTTACTAAGAACTCCAAAGACAATACATCCAGTTGATACACTTTCATCCTCTACCTAACAAGAAGCATACAGTCAATAAAACAAAATAGATCACACACGTTCTACTGGCTATCAATCCGTAGACTATTCTGCCATCCATATGCCTTGAAAAAAGGTCAATGGCCACCTGCACCAAATTGTCGCGAGGCCTCCACAATGAACCTATAAATATGCCTTTTTTAGGATGGACCATGTATGAAGCCAGTGAAAAACTGCAAAGATAACCTGGAAAGGAAAAGTTGTTTTTTTTTCTTTTCAAAAACCATATATTTCTGTTAACCAAATGGACTAACAAGTAGTTGCGGCACCTAGCAACACTAGTGG